ATTTGGTTGAAAGTATGCCGAGGAGAGTGCAAGCTGTAATTGATGCAAATGGGTATCCAACCCGATATTAAATATATAGCGCAATGTATATCAGTCTTCTTTCCGATGTATCATTTATATATGTATCTAGAACTCAAAAAGTAACGCTATTAATGTTTTTAACAAGTAAATGCCGATCTACGCTCCTTGATGTCTCGGTCTAACTCAGACTTATAATGTCCCACAATAACTAAAAGCAATTTAAAGCTGAATATTAATTACCGTTCCCATAGTGAGATTCTTCTTAACTAAATCTATCATGTGAGCAGAGCGAGGTTAGCGGTCCACGACTTTTACCATTAATCTCGGTTAACCTCATCGACTCGATACTTGACGTGTCTCGTTTAAACAATTTCTAAAAAAATTAATATAGAAATCCATCACATAAAGAATCTGTTGACTTTTCTTTGCTTTTGCCGCTTATATTTCCTTGATGGTGTGATATTTGTATCATTTCTATGCATGCTATGCTTAATAAGAATTTCATTTAGCTTCGCTTTTTTCCTACACAACTGAAAAGATGAGTCTTTAAACAGACCATATGTGTAATCTGTTATAACGAAACTTTACAAGTACATGTATTTGAAAATTAAACTGTAGCACTAACGACTGAATTTGGTATTTCTTGCGGAATTGTATATTATTATTATAAAATTTGTTATTTTATTCGTTACACATATAAAATTAATGATATAACGATGTACGTGTGATCATGAGAATATACATTCTGTACGTGCTTATACCTTTCGATATAGTTTATTTCTTATAGAATTTCAATATATACGTTACTTTATTACTTTTGAAACATCTACAGTCTATTAATTTTCAATAAGACCATATATCTATTCTTATTTTCAACAATGAGTACATTATATTTTATGTTTATAAAGTAGACAGGAAGTTGATAAATTGATTCAGCATTAATAATTTTATTCTAATGATTATAATTTCACATGAGTGGTTATTAAGCAAACTTGATTTAATCATATAATTAACAATAATTTGAGAAATTTTACATAATTATCCAATACTGATAACTTAAATTATCAACTAATAATAATAATATATTTTTTATCGCTATATTTCATAGTTTATAAACAATATGATGAGATTTAATGTTATAAACGGAATAATTTTGAAATCATTAATTGAGCAATTAAAAAAGAGAAAATTATTTCAAAAAATGAAAAGATATGGCGGGGGAAATCTTAACTCGCCAATCACGTGAATTGTTTCAATTTTGCGTATGCAATGTAATATAACATATTATATAATGCAGCCAATGATATAGCAGGCATTAAGCAATGATATGTAACATTTCATGTCATTTAATACAATCAATAATGTAGCAAATGCGTATAATTTTTATTATTTCTTAAAAGTTAGCATAAATGCTAATTATGTGGGTGTTTCTTAAAACGGTTAGAGGATAATTAATTTTTTTAGGGGCTTAGACCTAACATTAAACCAATAAAAATTATTCACGTGTGGTAATTGACCAATAAAACAAATTTCACGTGATAAAAATCACATGATATGTTTCAATTTTGACCAAACCATATAATAAGTACCCAATTTAAAATGCTTATAACTTTTATTTAAAACTTAATCAATAGTACATATCTTAAACAATATTATTACCAGTTTGTTTTTTTAAAATTCGATTTATTAAAGGCTCTAATAGTCTTTAAATATTATGTAATTTATTGGCGAGTTAAGATTTCCCGCACCATAATAAATGTACATGTACTAGTACATGTATATCTAAACAAAGTAAGCTCTTCTTGAATGATACTGATATGGTATATGAATGATAAAATAAACAATTAGACGCAACATGTGCTAAGAATTATTATCAATCAAAAATGGGTTCCATTGTAATACATGCTCGATTAGGGTTTCCGATTTTTTCTCATGTTTTGCTACACAACTGAGACGAATGAAATATATACATGTAATCAAAATCCTTTATAACGGTACTATTTATGTACATGTAAATTACATGTATGAGGACATTACGTGCGTGTACATTCCAATGTATTAATTTACTAGTACATTCCGATAGATTAATTTTCTATAAAGAATAGTTTATAATTCAGCCGCCATAATTTCAATATACATGTAGTTTGCTTTTTGATATCAGTAAATTTCAAGTTGCTCTCAAAATTGAAAATTTTGTTAACTATGAAGTCCGTTCAATCTCGAGGTTATTCTCCAACTCCAAAATTCCTTTCAATTAACGACAAAGAAATTAAAGAGTTGGCAGACTATATACTTGAACAAAGAAGAGTTCGAACAGATCGATATGCGATGGTGGGTAAAATCAGCAGGGCTGCGTCGTTCGTCACGAGAGGCTCAGGTTGCGACATTTTCTTTATGGTTATTGAGAAACTAATAGATTACATTGACGAACGTGAAGCACTTCACGAACAATTTATGGAACGAAAAATTGATCGCGCCATCTTAAGATCTGCAGTCAACTCAATGAAATCCGAAATATTGGCTATTAAAACCCGCATAGAACTAATGGAAAATACTGAAAATCCTTTTGATGATAGAAAATTTGAGGTGCCACCTGCATTCCATTCCTGCGAGAAAATTCTAAACTGTTTCGAAAATAAAGACCATGTCTTTTATCAACATCCGCTTATCACAGCCCCATCTTTGATTGCGTTCTCCCAGCTATATGCATCGATTTGTGCATATGGCGTTGAACTTCTACCAGCATACATAGAAATAGCTAACCGTGAAAAAAAGCGACTAAGAGAAGTGATTGAAGCATATAAAGTAAATACTATCGAGGAAAGACTCCAAATGATCAAAATTATACAGACGATAAAGTTACCATCTTATGACGGCAAGGCTAAAGATGATATGGTACAAGTAACTAATGCTGGAACTTTTAAAAACGCTCTGAGCCGCTTAAAAAAGAATGTAAGAAACATAACGTTACATGAAATAGATATTGTCAAAGATGGCTTTGGATATCAAAGCAAACCCGATGAATTACATTATTGGGATCGTACACTTTGGACTCGGGAACAGAAATCTGCGTGCAATCATGAATATTCACTGGTAGTGCGAACTTTGTACAAAGATTATTTCGATCAAATTATTGATGCCATTTCTTAAATTTTCAATTCGTTTCTATATAATGTACATGTATTATTGGTTTAGGTTTGCTGTTGTAACGGTGGTATAAATTTTAGGTCAGGTTGTCATTACTTATGGCACTGCATGTAATATATTTATTAATATATATTTAAATTGTTAACAAATAGAACTGTAATTCCAATAATATATAGCAAATATATAGCGATATTATATTTCCCTTTTCTTCATACTCATAATCTATCAATATATCTAACGGGGCTTTGATTTAAATACACGTAGAATTTTAAAACTGCTTTGATTTACCATGATTTAACGAGGTTTTGAAATATCACGATAAATTAAGAGTGACTGTATCCCACATACTGTATAAATATCCAGTTCTATACGTAGTACCTACTGGTATTATTCAATTAAAATAGTATAAGTTTTGATTAATATCCTGGATACTATACGGTATGGACTTAAAATAAATCAAACAACGAGTTATACGGATTATGTAAACATTTTAGTGCTGCATTTTCCATCTTAAACATAAAATAAATATTTTATTTTTGACTATTCATATACTTGTTATAATATACAGTGGCCTAATTTATTATTTGAACAGTATTGAAATTTAAACATCAAGCTTGATAAAATTTTAAATTTTTGAAATGTTAAGCTTTAAATAAAAGAATAAATAATTTTATACAACAGTTATAAGAAAATTGAATTAAAGAAAATATAAATTTTTTAATAACTGAAATTATATTAATTTATTAGGTTTTCCAAATTTCAATTTTCATTACATACATTAATTTCTTACTGAGCTAACTAATTCTTGTGTATTACGTAACTTGTTTATGGACTTAAATATTACTTATAGTAAAATTTTCACAAAATTTTGTGGCATTGTTATTAAAGTTAAAGAAATTTAATTTAAATTAAAAATTTCAATATAATTTAAATGATGCACCTAAATTTTAACTAAATCATATACATGTAAAAATTTTATTATAAATAGAATTTAATGTAGTAAAAATTTATTTATTAGTATGTCTTGAATATAGTAAATTGAAAAAGCATAAAATATTTGATTTAAAGCAATTTTTTAAATTGCTTTATAAACTTATTTGTCTCATATACACATAAAAATTTTACTTACAAATATTGATGCAATACGCATAATTTAAATACTTAGATCAATTATTAATTTATTATGTGCAGAGAGTAACAAAAGATTAGAATGATTGTAGAATTTATTAATAAAACATAGTAACATGAATTTTTTAATGTAAAATTTTTAATCATATTAATAAATACTTTTTATTATATCAAAATAATAACAATAACTATAATTAAAATATAATTTTTTCGAATTTTCAGTAAGTTTAGTTATAATTGCAAAGATTATGAGAGTGAGAAATAGAAACTTAGAGTAGTGATGCGAAAAGTTATGTGTATCTTTTAATTCCATAATACTAATTTTTTGTGCATATTTATATTAGAAGGATGTGTTGAAATCAAAGGAAAGTTCTTGATCTCCTTTTATGAAAATTAGACAAAAATCAATATGTAAAACATATATGATTCCTATCGTTGATAACGTTATTAGAAATTTTGTCACGATACATTCAAAAACATCAATATGGTTTAGTACATCGTTACATATCAACTTTTATTTTTTGACTCACGCGAACCTGACATTTCATTTTAGGAAGCTATAATGATGGAAATTTTAAGTGGTAGATATAATTAACTAATCTACATTTACATGTGGTGATTAATTGTACTTAATTGGAAGATTTCCCGCGCATTTAGAACATGACATGAAGCGTTGTTTAGGTGTCGAGCTAAAGTAAAAAATACGACAGAAATGCTTAAAATTTTACTTCAATTTTATTTTTACAATTTATATTAATTTTATCTTCTGAATTGTAAAAGAACAGACATTCTCAGTTTAGCTTCGTTTGGTGCAGTGAGTAAATCTGCATCATCAACTGGATTTAAAATACATCGGCCATCTATAAAATGGTTAACAATAATTAAATGCGATTTATGCATAACCAATGAATACTTGCATTTTAAAAATTGGTCGCTTATAATACTTAACATGATTGCTTTTGAAATGTAACGATTTCAGTTTCTTTAGCTCGTTAAATTCACTTTCTGTATATATATAATGCCACATTTCTTAATTCTTATCTTTATGCTTTCTTATATATGAATGTTTGTTATTTTATTTTTATTAGTGCTAATCATTCAGTTTTATAATTAATTAATAATAGTATTTTTTTAACAACGAATAATCCATCACTTTATAAATGTCTAATTTATTTCAAGTATAAATGAATTTAGAATATGAAATTATGTTAAACAAAGAGTTAAAATACCTATTTTATTAGGCTATTATACTATTTTGAACTTTCAAAATTAGCAATTATAAATATATTATTATAATATGGATGAATGGATTAACTTACTATTAAGTATCCTATTCTTTAGATGGATTGGAATACTGTTAGTTACACGAGACTACAAAAAAAACACAATCCATCTTCGTTTCAATATTAAAAATACATAAAACATCATCCTTTATAATTATTTGGCTCACGCTTTTCTGTTCTTTAACATAGAAATTTATTAAATTATGCAAATTAATTAAGCATAATATAATACTTTAGTACTAGAAATATTTGTTCTCAATAATGGTACACTATATATGAACAGTTATACGTTGAAGAAATGTTGGATACAATATTCTAACTGTACCAAATAATTACATATAAATTTTGTTATGTCTTAGTATTAAGCTAATCACAAAAAAAATGTAAAATAATTTCACTTTATTTTATAATGTAAAAACTTTTAATTACGTAAAATCACACCTCTTGACTTATTACACTTAATAATGTTGAACTTCAGGCAAGAGAATTTTATTAATTAAGCTTTACAATTTATGATTAATTTTTTATCTCATAAATTTATAAGAGGAAGACTCTCATTTTAGCTTCAATTGATGTAGTGAGTACGTATCATTTATTCTCAAAAATGAATTTGACGTGAATAAAATATACATTTTTATATTTTAGATAATAAACCTCTTTCCATCTCTGGAGAATTTTATACCTAACTAGACCTAGCGAATAGTATTATTTATACTATTTGCTTTATCTGTATATCGAAGGTGAATAGAGGAAATCTTATCTTTTTATTATTATGAAAGTATTTTCTACGCTTCAAAATATATTCGAATGTAAATAATTATTTCAGAACAAACATACTTATATCAAAATATTCGCATACTATTATGTGATCCACTTTTTAATTCTGAATCGTATTTTCAATATTAACATTCCGCTATGAAAGGGGATTTATGTCAGAAGCTGATTAAGCAACCAGAAAGAATGTAAAATTAGTTGATAAATTATGTAAAAAAAATGGTGGGTGTCGAATTATTTTATCGGAAAATAAACCTTTCTGTATGAAAAATTTCCGGATTGAGCGAAACGAACGATTCTTTTGGATTTGCCACTTTACAAATATGAAGACATATTATTCAATTATTGAGAGAATCCCTTTCAAAAAATTTACCAATATTGAGAAAATTGCCAAGGGGGATTTAATGAAGTGCACAAAGGTATTTGGAATGGTAAAAAGATTGCATAGATAATAACAGAATTATTGCATGAGGTAATAATATTAAAGATGGTGTCTAAAGTCATAATTTGGATTTGATCGAAAGTATGGGAAATTCTAACTCCGTAATTATTTATTCTAATTCTATTTATATAATAATTAAATAGAGGTTAAATTGACCTATAAACGTGAAAAAATATGATAAAAAATTATAACTAAGATTATTATTTTATTTAATATCAATTAATTAATTATCTTTTTGATTAGTGTCGATTATGAACGTAAAAAATCCACGACTATATTTACATTTTCATTTTAATATATTAATTTGTTTAATAATCTATTATTGTATTCTTTATTTAGAAAATATGAATTCTTTATTCTATCCTTTATTTAGGGAGTAAATAATCAACGATTTATTTTACATTTTCAATTTAGTATTATTTAATAGTAATTTATTTAACTAATATCCTTAATTTAGATGGTAAGAAATCAATAATTCATTTTGCATTTTTATTTTAATTTTATTTGATATTAATTTAATTAATCCATTATTCTATCCTTTATTTAGTACGTAAAATATCAACGATTTTATTTTCCATTTATATTTTAAAAATTTATTAAAATTAATTTATTTAACTAATTCATTATTCTATCCTTTGTTTAGATGGTAAGAATTAATGATATAATTTTACATTTTCATTTAATTTTATTTAATATTAATTTAAATAATCCATTATTCAATCCTTTATTTAGGAGAGTAAGTAATTAACGATTTTATTTCTATTTTCATTTAATATTGATTTATTAATTAATCCATTTTTTTTATCTTTTAATTAGATGGTACAGTAAGAAATCAACGATTTTATTTGCATATTCATTTTAATTTATTTATTTAACTTATCTATTATTCTATCCTTTAATAAGAATGTAAGAAATCAATTATTTTATTTTACATTTTCATTTAATTTTATTTAATATTATATTTTACCCCTTATTTAGCACTTAAGAAATCAAGTATTTATTTTACATTTTAATTTTAATTTATTTAACTGATTCCATTCTATCCTTTATTTAGATGGTAAGAAATCAATGATTTTATTTTGCATTTCATTTTTTAATTTAATATTAATTTATTTAACTTATTTGTTATCTTATCCTTTATTTAGTTGGTAAGGAATCAATAAATTTCTTTTACATTTTCATTTTTTGATATAGAGAAGGAAAAGTTGTGTTGAATTCATTACACAATTCTCCGAAATTTATAATCGAGGTACAAATGAGCATTTTCTGAATTTTCAAAAGTTGCTCTTAAATGCAGTTATAATATTGATAATATTGAATATTATAAGATAATAAAAAATCCCAACTACAAATAAATGCTTAATAATGATTATGACAGTCTCCGTAATATATTGCATGCAATTCCAAGTACGAAAAATTGACTTGGAACCAAAAATTAACGTCAAGTTATTTACGTAATATTATCTTTGATCTGAAAAGTAATTTGTGAATCGTGACTTTCTTCTGGAAATATATTATTGATACGTAATACTCCTCAAATCGCTGATTTTGGACTCAGCATCCAAGTAGATATAGAAAAATTTACCAAGAAAGTTTTAAAGTATATGAGTTCAGCGATGCTAATGGAAAGCCATAACGTTACAGATATCTATAACTTTCGGCTGGTTATACACGAGGTGAACGGCCTTATAATGATCGAAGTATCTTGTATTAAACTTTTGAAATGGAATACAACGACTATGATACCAAATAATATTCCCGCATGGTACAAATTTATTATGCGATCCTATTCCAAAAAACAGCCCAATTACTTTGACTTTATCAGATCTATTTATTATTGTAAAAAATTGATTAGAATAAATAATTACGAGAGATAAGAAATATCTCGATTAAATTTTCTTTTGACCATAACGATGACGATACAATTCTAATAGACTCGCTTTCATAAGTTCCTTATTCCATTATTTTTAGCAATTAAAATATTATTATACAGTAAACTCCGTAATAGTCACACCCGTAATAGTCATAATCGCGATATAGTCACATTAATTATTTGCTTAATTAATATCGATATACACCATCCAATGACATGGGATTGGGCAGATGAAAACAATGGTGTTTCAAATCTAATAACTTCTGTTATCCTAAAAGGGAATTTTAAATGAACCAATTACATAAAATTAGTAAAATTTTTTAAATTCTGAAGAGGATTGATTCAAAATTTTTTTGATGAGAACTATCTATATAGCAATTTTCGACTAAATTGGCATCAAATTCGTTTGGCTATTGGATTTAAAGTTCCTAATAAAAAATAATTCAGCTATTTTTTTTTGCTGAAACTTCGAGATCTAATGACTTTAACGTATTTGATATAAATTTAGTTGGAAATCGCTATATAGATATTGCTCATCAAGAACATTTTTGAATAGCAATTATTTTAGGTTTTAGCTTTAAAATAAGTATAAGAACCAGGTAAATTTAGCTGATGTTAAGGCATTATAAGTTTTTTTTCGTAAACTTTCCATGTTCCGTTTCATGTGTGAGCCACGTATATACGAGCAATTAATGTTAATCGATAATTTCAAAGATTTGACTTGAATCAAAGAGCTTGGTAAAAATAGCAATTTATTTCAATTTATAAAGTATAAAATTTCTATGACACTCCTACAATAGTCATCAAAAGGAAATAGCAAGAATGTAGATACATGTAATAATCACATAACTCGGTGAGCACCTGAAGTGACTTTTTCTGTGGATAATCCCGGCTGCGTCTTGAATTTGATGTAATTTACTTGGAGATGAGACAAACGAAGTTTGACTCGTGGTATCGAAGAGGTGGAAGAATTGCTACGATTTTAATAATACATCAAAAAACATAATTTAAAAGCTAGTTCCAGAATATTTTTATGATAAAAAAGTAAACATTTACTTTTCTATAGAGTCATTCGCAGTATCATCGCATTATCCGCTGGAATTTCGTCATCAGCAGATAGCAGTGACAAATTATAGTAATGCTTATTAATGACGGGGGCATTATTGTCAACCTCTGTACCTTTAGATGAATTTGGGCAGATGTTATTGGATTTGGCGGATTTATAACATTTGATGAAAGGCCGTCGCTGCAAATGAATCACCCAATTTATAATAGAATGAGTGAGGTGGTTGTTTAAAAAAACATACGTTGAAATCATTACATGCCTGATAGGATTACTTTTTCACATTAAATTATATATTTTGATAAATAGATTAATATTTCATTTATAATCTTGACATATTAATCAAGTCAATGTACACTAAGCTACCTGATAGTACTATTGTTTTTCCATTTGAATTCTCGTTGGATTCTGGAATACTCGGATTGAACAATGCGATTAACATTAAACGTATGAAATTTTACATGCTATCTATAAAGAAGCAAGAACACACTGGTAAGTGATTATACTGTTCGAATTATTTGCGGATGAATCCTGTAGTTCTTCTGTGGAACTGTCGGCAAAATATTAAAATAATTATTTATTTGATTAATTAATTAAAAGTATAGGATATTATTTTATAAAGCATAATATACATTTACTTAATTTTAAGGTGCATATCTCGACTCAGGATTTTGAATATTATTTAGTTCCCTTATTATTTAAAGTAGGTCAATGCTTTTATTAAGCATTAAGTTCGTCAAAAATATCCAATTTCAAATGCAAGCTTAGACTGTAGGGCTTGGAGAAATTGAGTTTGTTGGCGTCGTACTATTATGTTCAATAAAAGAAATTGTAATTAGCAATTGAAACATAAAGTTCAGAAACGTTAAAAACATTGGCAATTATTCTGTTGATTACTATTCTGTGAATTTGAATCATTTCTTTAATTTGATATAAGCACGTTAGATGCGTTAAATAAAAATCATCACTCACGCTCGAGATAAGGAAGTTATTGGATTCAATAAAAAAAATCTTTCTTAAAACAAAGAAAGCTAAATTTTAGTAAAGATTGAACCGGATTTAATTTTCTTAGTTTAAATCCGGATTTAGATGGTAAAAATAATCCAATTTCTTATAACAAAGCTTTCTTATATCGAGAGTGGCTTGTATCATTTAGTAAGATAGAAATGATTATATTTACAAAGAAGAATCTGTGACTGTTTATTAGCATTATTAGTAAATTGGAATCGATATTTAATTTATCACTGATATTTTAGGATTGCTCTAGAATTTACTTTGACTGTTTAGTATTATTATCTGTGTGTTCACTTACTTTAGTTGGATTCTGAATGTGAATTACTAATACAAGAAAGAAAATTATAGGTACGAAAAGCCTCGATAAATAAGCGATTCTAAATTTAAATGTAAATTATTACCTTTGAGTGTTTCCGGCAGATGTAGCTTTGTTGTAAATTACTAAAGAAAAAAGTTCTATTTATTTGAGTATTTTGTTTATTGACATCAGAATTAACTTACTTCTCATCTAAGATTGAAGATGCTTGAGTGATTATTTGTGAAATAGTAATCGGTGATGTGTAGGATTGTTGCTATTATTTTCGTGTGGTTTAGGTGTAGGTGTCGCGAAAGTAGTGATGATTTCAGAAGTTGATGCATCACTATTACTCTCGTAAAACTAGCGGTCGATCAATTCAAAATAAATTATATGCATTTAAAAGATTGTAAAGTTATTCAGATCAAATTGAAGATTTAGTAGTTACTCTGGATATTTAGTTGTGGCAATTGCCTATTGATTGATTTTATGGAATAAGATGATCGAATAATAAACTGAAGAAATGAATATTTATCTAATTACGTATTAGTCTCTTTGACACAAGATTAAAAGGTTTTGTCAAAGTTAAGGAAGCACTTTGTATAAAAAGAGAAATAATTGTTACAAATTTATCGAGCCTCATTGTTGCTTGTTAATTGCGTACAGCTGACCCCTTTATTTATATTATTAAACGTTCATTCAATTAAAGAAGGTTTTTCAAAAAATATACTAGCTCAAATAGATAATTTTGAATTAAAATTCACTATAGCGAGAATTTTATAGAGAGCCAACTGTATGTATTCTATAATTCAGATCTATCTTTGGAATATGCCTTTTGCTATGTCAAAGGTACAAATTTAGAGCGATCACTTGACAGAATGGTAATTTAATTTAGTTCGTAGGTCTTTTTTGTTCCCAGCGTATGGTAAGTTCTTTGTCTGCTCCCCATTACATGACAAGTCCATTATGGTAAACTTTATAATTGAAAAGGTTCCACAAGTTTTTTTTGCAATTTAAAATTGATTGAAAATGGATTCAAATTTTATAACGAGATAGTTTAAAAACAGAAATTGAAGATATCGATATTACACGTTAGAGAACCTTGTTCACAATATTCTAAAGAATATATCTATAAATTTTCGTGAGTTTTGGACGTTTCATTGTTAAAATATAGGCAAAAACGTTCATCGCCATTACTTTTGTCCGGGACTGTATTTATTTGATGTACTAATCTTTTTGCGCCGGACTATATATAGATTTTTATAGAAAAATCACTCTCGAAAAAAAGGTCTTTGTTATAAATAAGTATTAGAAACTATTTTTAAATTGTTTATCTATATACTATAATGAGGCTTTTTATAACTGTTAAAATAAAATAGTATATTTGTAGTAAATAAAAAAGTTGGATTTTAAAATAGAAAATTAACAATAATAATATAGAGATTAACAATATTAATATTAATAAAATAAAAAAAGTCGCGTTATTATTAAAAATACACATTTATTATATTCAAAACAACAATATTTTTGTAAAAAAAATCAATTTTGAGTAAGCTTATATATAGCTTTTAAAAATTTCGAGATGCCTCCACAATCAAAACATAATTTAAATCTAATAAAAGCCCATGCAGCAAGAAAAATTTATAAGAAACCTCCTTTAAAACCCCCCTAAAAAAATGACAAATATTAGTTGCTAAAGTTGAAAACTTGCCTGAAAAAGAGGTTCCTCGAGCACTTTCTCTTATGAATACAATGATATATACAAAGGGAAACTCTACTGGTAAAATTATATCTCCATACTGTCAGAAAAAAGCGGTTTAATTCTTGAATATGAAAAGCCTAGAAGAAGATATCAAAGAAGGAAATTTAAATACATTTGGATTATCTGAGGCTTTAAAAGATGAAGTTTTTTACAACGAATTTTACAATTTTACAATCTCACCTTCTATCCAAACTCTTTAGTTATATCCTCTTATTTATAATTTCGTCAAATACCAAATTTGGACTATTGTTGTTTACCAGCAACAACTAGAAGGAATGTTTAATCATTATGACTTGAAAGTACATCCAAATATGGATTTGGAACTTCAAGAAGCTTGGATGATTTTGTCAACAGCGAGTGCTAACTCTCTTGATATTACAAGAGAAAAACACCAAGATATTCGTACAATATTGCAAGATAAAATTAGAAAGGAAGCAGAAAATGATGGAATCGGAAATGCCAACGCCATTTTCAAAATCATTTGTAAGCTATCGAAAACGCTAACCTCTTTTAGATATTAATAAAAAAATCAAATTCCCGGTGATTGATGATAATTATTTCCCATTAAAAAATCCTCAATTACTACATTATGTTATTTACATCGTACACCCTAAAGAAACACACGAGACAAGGATTCTTCCACATTACTACGAGTACATGTATAGGATTGTCAAAAATAAAAGTTAGATAATCGATAAACAAATAATGGGAATGGCGAAGATAAAAAAAGCTTCTCAAGGAGTATCAATATCGTCTATTATAGTTTCATTAAGTTTTCCTGTATCAATTCTTCTCTGGTTCGTGACAGTTGTGTTTGTTTGCTGTAGTAAATGTAAAAGATGCCGCTATTTCGGTTCGAATAGTTTGCTACAGATGAATTAGGGTTGTTTTCATTTAAATGTGCATCTATTGCTGGAGTAGGTGTTAAAGTCTAACCCATTTGATTATTTATAGCGTCATCAAAAATTTATCCTGAACCTTTTTCTTATTATTCTCAAAAAGCTTTTCTTTCATTTTGTGCAATCTTGATGAATTTGTATATATGTACATGTATATCGAGATGTATTATCATTCGATGGAATAGATGCGATGAATGTCACAATTATTTTCTTCGAATTCTTTTGTTTAATGACTGTGTTGTTAATTTGGACATTTAAAGAAAAGAATTAATAACTTAATGGCAAACTGAAATAAAAGGTTTGGATTTTGCGGAAGAATTGTAGAAGTATCTCCTAAAAAAGCCAAAGACTCTTAATAATACTTTAGTACATGTATCATATTCGGTATTTACATATGCTAGTGTTATCAAGTACTTTTAGTATATTAATATTAATGTTGATACTGAATTTACCTTCATTTGGAACATAAAGCTAACACTTGTAGAACCTAAGTATGTGTGATATATTAATAAAATCAATCCGCAATGTCGTTTTGATTAAATGTGCGTACCTGTATCAGTTGATATTAATTTTGAATTAAACATTCGACTGGTGTAAATTACGTTGCCATTTTTGTAGGAATGCTTTTTTGTAATTTTATCTCCTTGTCCAGTTTATCGAATTTTTGTTTTTCTAATTTAACACACTCTTTAATTTCTTCATTTGATTTAGGATATTCTAACGAGCTGTAGTACTGAAAATGCAACGCATTAGCTTCAGATATTCTTCCATATCTGATAGAGCGGATGAAGTGATGAAGTTCCTCAGCAGTTGGTCTGTTTTCTGGAATAGGATCCCAACATTTTTCAATAATAAATTGAACCATCCGAAAATATTATTTGATATCGTAGGTGTGCTCCCTTATACATGTACTGTATATCGATATGTCTAATACGAGATGCATATCATGACTTCGCTTGCCGAAAGATCGTTCCCCAGTTACAATCTCGTATACAACTATCCCAATGCTATAAGTATCTGAAGCTTTAGTGTATGGCTTTCCATTTAGAATCTCTGGACTCATATAAGGAAGTGCTCCACAAATTTCTTGATTTGATTTTTTATACCTGCGAAGGTCACCATGGTTTGCATAAGTCAGCACTATCGAATATTCATTTGTGGCGGGGTTTTAGTTATTCCGTAATCAATAGTATCATCGTCTTCTTCACGAAAGCATTAAGAACAGTTGAATTTATTTTTAAAAACTTAATTGTATTAGAATAAAAAAGTAAATTTCACTCGAGAAAATGTTCATTTCTTACCTCATGTATAAACCCTGAAGTAATTTGCTTCGAAATGTGCGATGATTTCAACACAGCTTTTCTTTCTTCTCTTCATTTAAATTTATTTTCTTCATTAACACATTTGTCAAGGCAGACGTCCAACCAGGTTGCTTTATAAATTGACATAAAATCTCCTTTCGTAAGATTTTCAACGTTGGTAAACCTTTCAAAAGGAATTCATTATAACAATTATACTCAACTTTGTTGCATTCTTTTATTAGATTGTCGATATCATGTATCTCCGCTACACAATTTAACGTTGTAAATTCGTTGTGACAACCATAATTTTGTTGACAACGAATACATTTACTAAATGATGCCATTCCATCACTATCGAATATTCATTTGTAACTGGGTTTGAGCTATTCCGTAATCAATAATCTCATTGTTTTCTTCATGATAGCATTTAAGAACAGTTGACTCTATTTTTAAAAAACTTGATTGTAAAAAACAACTTTAGAAAATATTCATTTTTTACCTTGTGTATAAACTCTGGAGTAATTTGCTTTGAATTTTGTAATGATTTCAACACAACATTTCTTGCGCAATACTCACATTGTACTAGTGCATGTAGCCACGTTGTTTTATAAATTGAATCAAAACCTCCTTTTGCAAGGTATTCAACGTTGGTAAATCTTTCAAAAGGAACCCATTCGAAAATTCAAAATAGGCACTATTTTCATTAATTTGTTGCATTCTTTATTAGATTGGCGATATCGATATCTTTATCTCCGCTAAATCTTAACAATACCAAGATTTACCCACAATCATGAGTATTCTTTGTGCGTCTTTATACATAACAATAAGCATGCAGTTTTTTGATTCGTCTATTTATTACGCCGACAATAAAAATAACGATAACTAAGAAAATTAACAGTCATTATTGCACTCTCACCACATTTATCGTTGTCCTAAAATATGCCCGAGTTTACAAGAAATCTTATCAAAGACTTGACCGAGCTTTTAAAAAACTCTGACGAATATAACCTCAATATTATCGCTGGGGAAAATAAAAACACTAAAACGTTTCAAGCTCACTCGCTACTTTTACGTGCACGTTCACCGTATTTTCGACGTGCTTTATCAAAAGAATGGGCAAAAAAAGACGGTCAAATGATGTTTTTTAAAAAACCAAATATTTCACCTAAAATATTTGAACATATACTCAAGTATATTCATATGTTAGTTTGATGCACTTTCTTATCGCTATGATAAATATTTAATTTATTATATCTATTATGTAGTTATCTATATACCAGCGTAATCGATCTCGAAAAAGAAAGCGGAAATGATGTATTAAGTCTACTTGTTGCCGCAGACGAATTAGAAATCAATGAATTAATTCATCATGGTCAGGATATTTTACTTGAAAATATGTCTGCTTGGGTCCAACAGAATCTCGTAAAGATTATGCATACCGTTTCTCTTCATGCATCATTCAAGAGATTGAAGGAGTATTGTGACAAAATCATCAGTGAAGAACCTCATATGATTTTCAAAACTGGTGATTTTTTGTCCCTAGAGGAATCAAGACTTGTGTCTTTACTAAAACTCGAGAATATAGCAATGGACGAAATTGAAATTTGGGATTCAATCATCAAATGGGGTATTATAAATACTTCGACTTTAGGCCAACAACATATTTCAAAATGGACGCTTCAAAATTTTACAGCTCTAGAAAAGACTCTTCATCATTGTATTCCATTGATCCGATATAGCGACATCTCCAGCGATGATTTTTTTGAAAAAGTAATTCCCTATCGGAGAATCCTTCCAAAAGACATGAAAATGGAAATTTTAGGCTATCATCTCAAAAGTTCAGCTCCACGACCTGTTCAAATTCTACCTCCTCGATCAGGCTCCATGAACTATAAAATTGTTGACTCTAAAATTATTGACTTTAAACACGCCAACTTAATTTCATCTTGGATCGATAAAAAAGATACACCCCATTTCTCTGATTTCTTTTATAAGTCGCCATATCAATTTAAACTCCTTTATCGAGGCAGCCGAGATGGTTTTGATGCTTCGAAGTTTCGTGAGCTTTGTGGCTCTGAAACTCAGACCGTAGTAGTCGTCAAAACAAATCAAGCTGGAAGAATTATTGGTGGCTATAACCCTAGTCATTGGGGCGGCAACAGATATTATAGAGGTTTCAACTACAACAGCAACAATTTTTCTTATTTAAGCGTCTCTGATGCTTTTATTTTTTCTTTCAGTGATGGAAAAAGTCAAAATGCAAAATTTTCACGCAGTACTTGTGGAAATCAAATCGCATTTAATCCTAATCGAGTTACTTGCGGTCCATATTTTTATAATGATTTATATATCAGCGACCTATGCAATCAAAATACTGCAAGCTGGTTTTGTCCTTGTTTCTTTAGAACGCCAAATATAAACATATGGGATGGCAAAGATTCTAGTATCCAATATTTTGTCGTAGAAGAGTATGAAGTATTTAAAGTTTCTAAAAAATGAAATTAATTGATCAAAATTAGTTTTGATTAAATTACACTCGCTTGTCCTCATCTCGCGTTCTGTATTCATAGACTTCTCTTTTTTCATTTTCCCCAATAAAGATAGGATTTTACAGCTATAAAAATAACGAATAAAAAAATGATAAATGTTAATACTATATTTTCGCGAAATAATGTTTATGGGCGTTATTTCTAAAATCGTATCCCTTTAAAAAATAGCATACATAGTTTCAAAATAACGCCCGAAATTACGCATGTACCCGAATCTACTTCAAAATCCCCAACGTTCAAAATCCCGAACGCCTAAAATCTCGACAATACACTAAAATTATATAATTCACGTTGTAATTTAAGAATGTCAGGAAATTAGATATTCTGACATTTTGGTAACGTCTGGATGTTCGGAAGTCGGGATTTGGAATACAATGAGATCTCGTTAATATCAACTATAATGTTCAGTTTTACTGCATTTCTGCGCAGTAAAATTTATCCGCAAATCAAAAAACATGATCAAATTTAAAAATTTGATAATTTTGGGACGCGAAATCTCAACATCCAATGGTCCAATTTGGACAAAAATATCGAGATATCGTGTCTCAAGGCTACCGGTTTTTTTAAAATTTAATTTTCCAATAGATTCTTTTTATTATGCATGCCTTTTATCATTAAATAGTTTGTAATAATGTAAAAAATTTCGTAATGTAAATTGTAAAATCACATCGTTATGCAAAATTCACAAATCACGTTATAGACCATACAGATTCTGCAAATTCTGCTTTTGCAGAAAACTGGACACTCTAATCCCAACTGATGAAGGTATGAATAAATGACTTTACAGATTAATTTTAGTATATTAAACATTAAGTTCTACAAGTGTTAGTTTATATGTTTCAAACGAAGGTAAATTCACTATTGTATTACAGCTATTTTTATTAAAATCTAAGTTATTGTCCGGAGCGTAAAGCGAAGGCTATAAATTATGTGAAAAATTTTATTGTCACGTGGAATTTCCGGTTGTTACGCCACGTGACTGGTTATGAATAAATAACTAATTAAAAAATTTATCGCACCGAACTCATAATGGGAAAACACTAAAACAGGATCGTGAATTAAGATCAATTCAGATCAAAAACAAATTGGATTGAGTATATACACATGTCAGGATTTTATAATGGCTACCAACTATGATTGATGATACAGATGTTTCTCTCTAGAAAGAGTATGCAATAAGTGTGTATATATATAAGAGAAAAGGATGATAAATATCAGAAAGACTGCAACAAATACAAGCTTATAATTAAGACTTTTATTATAATAAACACAAAATAAGAGAAAAGAAATATTCTAGTTAAAAAGCAAAGAAAATTAGTAAATATAATGCTAATATCTGTAAAGCAAAAATAAAGATTGCATTTATCTTTGTAACTCAATTAATCTAAATTAAGTATTATAAAAATACTTTTAATTATATGTATTTTATTAAAAATAATAATAAATTAAAATATTCTTCTAAAATAACAGATAATTAATTATTAAAGAAGCTATAATTATATACTTCACTAATTATTATTATTATTGCTATTAAGATGCTTACAGAAAAAATATCATTATTCAAAATCTTTATCATATTAAAATTATTAATATTCAATAAAAATTGTATAAATTTAATAATTTTTTTTGCTAATAAAGAAAACTTGAAATTAAATATTTAAAATATTCTTAAATTTTTAATTATTAAAAAGTTAAATACTTTTATATAATATATAAATTATAATAATCATTATAAAGTTTTTGCTTTACAAATTACTCTTTTATCAAATTGACTATATATTTGAGATTATTATCCTGTTGAAAAATAATCTTGTTAATAGCTAATTCATATTTTTTAATAGTATTCATAAAATCTTTTTCAAGAATTTATCAATATAATATATCATTCATATTTTTATTAATCTTATAAAAGTTACTGATATCATGAAAGGTGAAATAATCCTATATTATTATTTTTTCATCACTAAATTTTACTATAGATTTAATATGATGTCTTTTTAATAATTCACCTATTCTTTTTCAATAATATTATTTTTTATTAGATTCAAAAACCTGAAATTTAGATTTGTCAGATCAGATTATCTTTGATTAATCTTTATAAGTCCAGTTTTTTATATTTTTTGGTGAATTCAAGATAATATTATTGATATTTAGACTTTAGATATAGTTTTTTTTATTTTATTCTCATTATTAAATCATTTTTTTTAGTATATGACAAACAGTATACTCTGAAATTTTGATATTTTCAGTTTAATGAAGATAATTTTGAATGATAATGATGATGAAACAGTTACAAAATATAATAAGATAGATTATTATTCTTTCTAACTGGTTATTTAATAACTGTGAATGACCAGACTTACTTAAATTATTTAAAATATATTATTCATGCCATTTTTTATTAATATATAAGATGGTAAAAGAACTAATTTTATAAGTTCTTGCTATTTCTCTTGTGATATATTCATTTTGAAGTGAAATAATTATTTCAGCTCTTTCTTCAAGAGTTATATGATATTTTAATGTTTGTTTTTTATTATTAAAAAGCTGTAATATAATTTAAGAAAAAAAAAGATAAATAAAATAGTTGTTTATTTTGTGACTTCTATATAATATTTACTTACTATTTGATCTTCTGAATAAAAGATCAAAAGAAATGCAATATTAATTTATACAAGTTCACATATTTATTTCAAAATTGTGTTTAATAATAGTAAATTAAATTTTATTAAATAAAATTAGTACTATTAATATACCATATTTATTAATTTTATTTAAATTTTGTTAGCTACTTATAAATATATCATGATTTAATAATTTTTAATTTTGC